ACCTGAATTCAGGTCCTACTTCTGACATAAACTGACTGTGTGATCCTAGGCAAGTCACTTAATTTCTCAGTGCACCAGACAGCTCTCTAAGACTAGAAATTGCAGAGAAGGTGTCAACCTGCATTGATAGGGAGAATTTCTTTACTGAGAAATCTCTACACTAATGAAATCATAGGCCCAATCTCCATTCCTGTGTTTGTGAGTGCAGGATGGAGATGATTTTGGGTATATGTGGAAGGCTCAGGGTTGTTCTTACTGAGAGCAGCCTGTGCTATTCTTTCCCTAAGCTTCATAAGAGGAGAGGGTGAAAGGAAAAATCATTTTTATAGTACCTACTATGTGTCAGGCACTGTGCCAAGCACTTTTGCAAGTAATATCTCATTTGATCCTCACAATGACCCTGTGAGATAGGTGCTGTTATTATCTCCATTAAATAGCTGAGGAAACAGGCAAACAGAGGTTAAGCAACTTGTCCAGGTCACACAGCTAGTAAATGACTGAAGGCAGATTTTAATTTAGGCCTTCTTACTCCAAGTCCAACACTCTGCTGCTCTACCAGCCACCTCTGAGGTCATAGAGCTTTAGAACTGGAATGAATTTAAAAGTCATCTCATTTAATCCCCTCATTTTACAGAAAAGGAAACTGAGGCCTTATTTCACAATAATGTCTTATATTACTAAGACTACTTATACTTTTGTAAAGTATTTTTCACATATATAATCTCTTTTGAGCTACATAACAGCCATGTGAAGTTGTTAGAACAGATAGTTTTGAATTCATTTCATATATGGGGAAACTGAGGCACAAATACACAAGGTCAATGCAGCAAGTCAGAGGTGGAGCTAAATCTCTTGAACTTGATTTCTGGACTCTTGTCACTGTAGGGTGATAATTCGTGTATCACCACAACGCCCCCCCCCCCCCCACACACACTCTCTCTACACCTTCTTCCTCATCTCAAATTCAAATCAGCAGCAGGAAACAGCTATCTCCACAATGGAAAGAGGGTTTCATACAAATGTCTTGCTGCTTCCTGGCAGTCCTACTGATGACTGGGCCGTGATCTTGGTGCAGGCAAGAAGGAGGAAGGCTGCTGGTGTTTCCAGAGTTTTTTGGAGCTGTGCCAAGAAATGGACAGGTTCTGCAGTCTTGGTAACATTCTGGTAGGAATCATGATCTCCCTCTCCACCCACATCAGGAAAAGGAAATAGAAGGAAGCTGGCCATCCCTTATGGGAGAGGGAGAGAGACAGAGACAGAGACAGAGAGAAGAGAAGAGAAGAGAAGAGAAGAGAAGAGAAGAGAAGAGAAG